GCTCCTCTCTTTGGAAACTAAAAAAAAAATCCCACTCCCTCCCTAGTATACAAACCCCCCTCACCCCTTCCACCACCCCAAATACATTCCACTATGCAACCTTAATTGTGGACTCTTGTGATAACCATACTATCCTTATCATATATCGCTTTTAACTTATTCTTTCCCTAATCTGTTTCAGTGCAGTATACACAGTTTATCCAGTTTTTCTCATTCTTACTCCAACCCTGATATCAGTCACATTTTACAGCAGTGGCACCATGCAGTATTTGTCCTTTTGCGACTGAAAGATTTCACTCAGCATAATGTCCTCCAGGGTCACCCATTTTGAATAATATTGCATGAGTTCCTTGCTTTTCAATGCAGCGGAGTATTCCATTGTGTCAAAATAACACAGCTTCTCTATCCATTTTTCTGTTGATGGACACCTGGGTTATTTCCAGCTTCTTGCTATTGTGAACACAGCCCTGATAAACATGGGTGTGCATATATCAGCTTCGATATCAGTTATGGTCTCTTTGGGATATATTCCCAGTAGTGGAATTGCTGGGTCAAATGGTATCTCTATTTGCAACTTTTTGAGAAAGCGCCATACCGCCTTCCAGAGTGGTTGTACCATTTTACACTCCCACCAACAGTGAATAAGGGTTCCAGTTTCTCCACAACCTTGTCAGCATTTGTTACTTGCTGTTCTGTTAAATTTTGCTATTCTGACTGGGGTGAGATGATATCTCATAGTTGTTTTGATTTGCATCTCAGAGCTATGGATTTTGAACATTTCTTCATGTGCTTGTTAGCTATCTGAATGTCTTCTTCGGTGAAGTGTCTGTTCATTTCCTGTGCCCATTTTTCTATTGAATTATTTACCTTTATCTTGTTGTGGTACTCAAGTATTTTATATATTCTGGATATAAATCCCTTATCTGATATGTCATGACCAAATACTTTTTCCCAGTTGGTGGCTTCCCTTTTTACCCTGTTGGAGAAGTTTTTAGATGTGCATAGGGATTTGATTTTTAGAAGATCCCATTTATGTATTTTCTCTTCTCCTATTTGTCTATCTTTTCTTTTATGCTTTTTTGTCTCTCTAGTATGTTGGAAAATTTCTACCATTTTGGTCTTGATATTCTGAATTCCATTTCTATGCATTTCTGTTCTTTCAAGAACTCTATTGTTCTTTTTTTCTCCGTCTTGTAATGATTTTTAAAATCACTATACTTCTGGAAACTCTATGAACTTTGAGAAATGACAATAGTTAAATAAAGGCTTCAGATCTTTTGTTCATAGGGTGACTATGAGTCGTGTTTTATTAGACCACAATCAATGACAACACAACTTTATCTATAGTTTTAATTTTTTTCTTTTATCCTTTGCAATTTCTTCAGTAATTGTTCATATTCCTCTGTGTTCATATAGTCCTTCTGCTTACATACCTATTTCTGGAATATTTATTTTTGGCTTGTATTCTTTCTTCTAGAATTTGCAACTTCTTCGGTAGCTGTTCATATAAATCCACATTAATATATTTCTTCTGGTTCCCTGTCTCTGTGGTATTAATTTTGTTTATTTATAGCTTTCATTTTTCTCTCATAGTTTTTACCTTCACCTGTACCTTCAGTCTCTGGGGTAGTCATTGGATCTGCAACATGCTCTGCTTTTTTTTAAATTTAGGTTGTTTATTTTTCATTTCAATGAACATCTACAGAGATTTTGGAATTCCATTCATTCATCGTT